AAAAAAAACACATACTCTCCCCAGTCCATATGGTGACCAATCCCACTGAAGGCTCCAGATTCTGGGCTGGCTTCAATGGCTGTGCAACATATGCAGGCACAAGGGCCCCACACTTGTTCAATGTGATGTCACCATCTTGAAATTCTTAATGTTGAAGAAAGGGCACCCCATATTCATTTTGCACTGGGCCCCACAATCCTGTAGTCAGTCCTGTCCAGAGGCTGATCTCAGGAAAGCTAAGATTCTAAAATATCTGAGAGGAAAACCTGAGGTCAAGTAGACCTCAGAGAAGCTTGTTAAGGACTATCTACCCTGGGAAAATTAAAGCAGATCTCCTATAGATCGTCATTTCTAGGTGCCGTGTTGACATTTCCAGGACTCACTTTTTTCTTTCTGCTGTATCATTTCTCTATGTCAAGCATTATTCAGAAAGTTCAACAGTTTTGTAGAGTCTTTGAAATACTCCATTTTTTAACATTGGTTATATTTTGTTGGTTAAAATTTGAACACATCTTGCTTTCAATGAAAGCAAACTTTTTTTTTGTGATTTCTTCTAAAACTGGGATTTTCACTCGATTTTCAAAAGAACACCATTGTTTGTCTGTGTTCCTATTTACCTGCTAAGAGCTTGTAGGACCAGGGGTGATAATGAAACATTTTAGGTTACACGGAAGTTCAAGAACACCTGTGTTTTTAGCTACTTCTGAAGATAGCTAAGGAAGGAATACCACCTATCTTTAAGAAATTTTTTAACAAAAAACTTTACATAATATTCTGAGGAAAAGAGAGTATTCCCTCAGGAAAGTAGCTACTGAATAGCCTGGGGCCTGGGTTAGCAAGATGGGGTGAGAACCCACTTGGTGGGCAATGGGAGGTGTGAGTGGGGCCCGACCAGAATCCAGGTCTTCTACGGAATCTGCGTTTTTATGAAGTCTGCAAGGATGCGATTGCACCTAGTTAGCACAGTGCTCGTGCTCTGCTGTATTTCCCCAGGCTACAAAACGACTGGCTTTATAAACTCCTAAAGGGTTTTTATTTATTTCTTGTGTAGGAAGCAACACCTCAAGTACTGTAAAACCTCTTTCCTACCGTGAAAACAGACATAGAGTGGGGTTGCCCCCAATCCATAACTTGCATAAACTGGATAGATGTTACAGTTGGAAGAGCTAAAAAAAAGATTCTTCCTTTTTGTTCCCACTCCAGCTTAGCACCAATTGGAAGAGAGACGTGGAAGTCAGACAGATGGAAATGAAAGTATCAGCTTTGAGAATCATGCTCAGATCCTTGGGCAACTGAATTTGCAAACACCGTAGCTCTGTGTTAGAGTCATACTCACTGGGTCACAGCAAGGGGAGCGTAGGCATGAGAAGTCCAGAGCGGGTACACTGGGCCAGTAGAGAACTCCGTAAGACAGAAACAGCAAGTGCCAACCGTTCCTTAGTTCCTTCTCTCCAGCTCGCCCATCTGACAAAGCAATAGAGAGGCAATGGGAAAGCAACTCTGTGCAAATTACTTCATATGAAAACATGAGGATTAAGACGGTCTCCCGACAACAAAAACAGCTATTCCTATTGAGTTGAACATATGATATCAAAAAGTAAAACATCATGAATTCACACGCCAATAGTTGAGAATTTTTTTTTAATGTTAAAAACAAATCCTTAAATCCTGTAAAAAACACTGACTAGCCCAAAAAATCTTCTGTCGTTTAAGGAAGGAACAAGCTTACTTTCAAGGACTTTTAAACTTGCTTTAATAACATCAAAAACAATGGCCACGTTAATAACATTATTATTTCTTATTCATGAAAATTTCCATTAGAATGTCTACATGGCTATACTATAATAGACCTGTTCAAGGTTCTACACACTCTGGGAAATAAAGGCAGGCATTTCTTTAAGAAAGTCTCTAACTCATGATAATGGCAGCAATGGACTCAACAAGGATGCCCCATCTGTCTGAATGAGGGGTGCTTTACTGTATCAGCAAATCCAGGCTGGTGACACAGGGAGAAATGTGGCCACCCAAAGACCTTTTATGGTCTTTGTCACTGGGCTGCCTGTCCCCTAGAGATGTCGGCTTCGGCTTCAGCCCTTCCTTAATGAAACTATTCATTTGGCTGAGACTCTAAGAGACTCCAGGAGGCAGGAGGGCCTCCTCTGGGTCAGTCTGAGGTGCTGGCCCTTTAAGACTGGCTTGCATAGGGGCCCATTGATGCTAAGCTGAAACCCAGCAGTGCCAGGAGTAGATTCAGTTCTGGTTTGAGTTAAGCTGGGTCTGAGAGATTCCCTTCCTTTACACAGAATGTTTGCAAACATTAAAAAGTGGACTGGGCTTCTTATTTCAGCGTGAAAGCTTTATGGTGTTATGGGACAAAGAGGAAGGTAATTCAGTTAGGGAGTAACACAATCACCTTTGATAAACTACACTTTTAGGTCATCTTGGATGCGAAAAGGGCACTGGATGGGGGCAGGGTGGTCTCCCTGACTAATTCATTCCCAAAGTTTGCCAGTGTTGGAAAGGAAGGGCACCTGGCTGGCTGTCAGGTTTTCTGCTGGCACATACCCTGTTGGAGGGGATATTCTCCTATTTGCAGATGGCAGCAGCCTCTCTTTCAAGTGATTTGTTATAATGACGATGATTATTGTTGGATGATTCTAGTCGCCCACTGGCAGGATTATAGTTAAAAATCTGGCAGCGTTTGCATTATAAACGACTATTTTTACAGCTCAACCATAAAAGTTTACTTAGGTCTGAAATCTGATATACAAGCTCTCCATCCAGGAGTGCTTTCCTTTCAAATAGAATTTTAAAAAATGGTTAATAAAATTGGTCTGTCTAATTTTCCTGAGTTATATGAGTATTTTGGAAAAACAGAAGTGTATCATTTGTATAGGCTCTCTACATTTTTTCTCAGTTGGTCTTCAGTTTAAACAAGGTGCTATAAAATTTAAATTACTCAAACTGATCTTGGATGTATTGAGAAGAAATGATATTGTGTACAGGGCTGGACTAGAGAAAAGGAAAGGAGCAGACAGTCTTTCTATTTAACTTTAAAAACTCTATCTGTGGCCCACAAGTAGAAGCCCTTTTGGAACAATTATCACTTTGCATTTTCATTATGTATTTTATACCTCTAAGTACATAATCACCTGCTCATGTCTATCTGATAAATAATGAGATTTTTATTTCACATTTGCATTGTCAATTACAGTATATTACAGCAGTAAGATACCAGGCATCTGTTATTAATAGAATGTAATTTTTTTTAGATAACAAGGGCACTTTAAATAGACAGAGAGAAAGAACCCTTTATTGGAGGCCACCCAGATCTGTTGATAGCTTTTTGTTTGCACTTTCAGGTAGATGAGGCAGGAATGGAGGAAAATACCACATGAACTGAAGCTATCAAGATAAAATATAAATGTGACTTACAGTCTGGCAAGAGTTTATGTCCTTACCCTTGAGGAAGGAGTCAGTTTTGTAAATGCCAATGCAATTAGAATACATTTAATGTTGAAAAGATGAAAAGTCCAACCCATGAATTCCCTCTAAGAGTTTGATAACCTCTGGTCACAATATGAGGGTCCAGTTGGAAGAGCCAATTCTAGTGGTCTCAGGATCATTATCTTTACTACCAAAAGATGATTCTTCTGAGCAGGGTCATTTATTTCCCCAACTCCAATGCTTGGGGTCTTACTGAGAGGTAATGTGGTGAGAAAAGCAAGACAAAAAAAAAAAAAAAATCTAGGAGCCTGGGAATTCTCCATCTGCCTACTACAATAACCACCTAGATTGGTGGTTACCTATCTGAGTAAATGAAGAGTACTGGAACTGTACTAAGCATCAGAGTGCAATGAATACACCATGAAAAGCAGATGCATGATAAGAATGCAAATAATCAAGTAATGACTTCCCTTTGGGAAACACTCTGCACAGGTCAATGTTGGATGTATTCCTTTTGCCAAGAGATTTTACCACCTAATCAGCCACCACAGAGGGATATAGAACTGTTCTAGCACCACAGACTCCCTCAAGTTGCTCCTTAATAATCATACCCTCCATCCAACCCCAACCTGATGTATTCTCCATCGTTATGATTATCATTTTGAGAATGTTATAGAAATGGAATCATACAGTGTGTAGCCCTTTGAGGCTGGTTTTCCACTCAGCATAATGCCCTTGAGATCCATCTAAATTGTTCATGTATCAGTAGTTTATTCCTTTATATTGCTGAGTAACTTTCCATTATATGGATGTAGTGCTGTTTGCTTATCCATTCACTCATGGAAAGACTGTTGGGTTGTTTCTGGTTTGAGGTTATTATAAATAAAATTGCTACAACCATTCACATACAGGTTTTTGTCTAAACACAAGTTTTCATTTCCTTAGGAGAAATACACAGAAATATGAATGCTGGGTCATATGGTAAATATGTGTTTAACTGTATAAGAAGCTGCTTATATAACTGTTTTCCAATACAACTTTGCCACTTTACATTCCTACCAGCAAAGTATAAAAGATGCAGTTGTTCTGCATCCACACCAGTATTTGGTATTATCAGTATTTATACTTTAGCCATTTTAATAGGTGTGTAGTGGTGTATGTCCTTGTAGCTTTAATCCACATTTCTCTATTGGCTAATGACACTGAACAATTTCTCAGGTATTATTTACTATCCATATATCCTCTTTGATGAAGCGTCTGTTCAAGTTATCTGAAGTATCAAGTTCAAGTCAAGCTTTAAAGAAGTTTTGTTCTGTGTTATGACTGCATTCTCCCCAGTGTATCTTCACAAAAGGCTGAGGTAATAAATTAAATATCTTTCCAACTATTGGGAATGCCAGCCATGCTGTAATGGGACACAAGGCAGCATTCAAAAAAAAAAAAACCACCACCACCAACAACAAAAAAAACTTGTCAGTTTCTTCTAATATATCTTTTCCTGGTTCCATATTCCATGTCTGTATGCTAGGAATATTTCTTTTTGGTTTCTCAACAGGAACTGAAAAATCTCACTAAATTCAGATGACAAAAGGAAGAGGGAGAGTGGAGCCAGGATGCCACAAGCAAAATTGTAGGTGAAAATATATTTTTACAGAAATGTAGGTAGATTAGAAGTCTGATTCCTATCAAGAAATCATAAGTTATGTGTAAATATTAGATGTACCACAATAGTTGCTTTAATGGGTGGCTAACTCCAGTAAAAAACAGAATGAGAATTCAGAATTGACTTTACAAATGGAATCTGTCATCCAGCTTTAGAGAGTATTCAAAATATTAGTTGACTTGCGACGTGGATGGAACTGGAGGGTATTATGCTGAGCGAAATAAGTCAAAAAGAGAAAGACATGTATCACATGATCTCACTGATATGAGGAATTCTTAATCTCAGGAAACAAACTGAGGGTTGCTGGAGTGGTGGGGGGTGGGAGGGATGGGGTGGCTGAGTGATAGACATTGGGGAGGGTATGTGCTATGGTGAGCGCTGTGAATTGTGTAAGACTGTTGAATCACAGACCTGTGCCTCTGAAACAAATAATACATTATATGGTTAAAAAAAAAAAAAAAGAAGAAGAAGAAGAAGAAGATAGCAGGCAGGGAAAAATGAAGGGAGGGAAATTGGAGGGGGAGACGAACCATGAGAGACTATGGACTCTGAGAAACAAACTGAGGGTTCTAGAAGGGAGGGGGGTGGGGGGATGGGTTAGCCTGGTGATGGGTATTAAGGAGGGCATGTATTGAAAGGAGCACTGGGTGTTATACGCAAACAATGAATCATGGAACACTACATGAAAAACTAATGATGTAATGTATGGTGATTAACATAATAAAATAAAAAAAAATATATTAGTTGACTTGAAAACTTCACTTTTCCAAGTCTGAATCTTTTTCTTAAATTAAGATACATTAAAAATTCCTAGGAAAGTACATTTTAAAAATTTTCATGTGTAAATATTTAAAAACATATTAATCTAATTAAAATAAAATTTATGACAGTCTTACTTTGAAAATCTAATCAAAGCACACGTTTCCTTTAATAGAGAAGAAAAGGTGTGACTTAAGAAGTTGAAGAAATAATGAAAGACCCTTAATATGAAGAATATTTATTTTGAACGTCTTTTACATTGGAATTCCTTTATTTTAAAGCTACCTCCTTCACCTGGGCATCCAGAGTCTCTGCCTTGTGTCCTACCTGTTAGAGACCCTGGTTTGGCCCAGTATTGGTGCTTCCCTCCCTTCAAGGAGAAGATTCTAAGCCGTCAGGGGAATGCTCACTTGGAGGGTGCAGTACAACATCCCCCTTCAGGAACATCTCAGAGCCCAGGGACCTGGAATTCCCTTCCCAGAGGGATTGAACCTATTTCCAGGGCCAACACATGCCTCTTCCTTAACACCTCTTTCATCTTCTTCTCCAGGGCTAACCAGACTTCTGGGGTGTTCCCTGGGAGGCCCCAAGGGTGCTAGGAATGGCGTTTGTGCGATATGGTTGTGGACCGTGAGTGGGCACTATATGCTGGGGTTTCCCATTCATGCGTGTGAGGCCTTCCCTGTCCAGGATGCGGCCAGCCTTCGGCTAGGGTAGGCGGTGGGAGGTGAGGAGCATTTGTACTCTAGCTCTAGGCCCCACAAACAGCACTTGGTTGTAAGAATGGCCTGTGAGTTTTCAGAAGAAATACATTTCAAGCTCCACCTCAAAATTCACCAGTGCCACAACTGGAATATTTCCACTTTTAATTCGTGTGGTGTGTTTCATTTCCTAACAGAGACACTCTTTCTGACAACTCCTATAATACTTAGTCTGTACTGTGCAGTTTAGAACTTAATTCTATTCTGTCACATACAATGAACTGTTGTTTTATTTGAGTTTTATTTTCTTTTGTCTCCAACTAGACTGTAAGTCCCTAGAGATAGAAAATAAGACTTATGCTTCAGTGGTATGTACCTACGATATCTAGCAGAATTTTGAATACAGAGTAGGTAATAAATATCTGCTGCTTGAATGATAAACTTGTAATGCCTTATAAATATGTTAAACAAGACTTAGGCTCACAGTTTTAAAACCTGAGTTTGTTGAGAAAAAGAAGCAGTTTCTCAGGTGCAAAAGGAAAAATTGGGGAAGGGAGAGTAAAGTCAAAGGAAATCATTTGAGCATCTGGTTTAGCTTGCACAGACCCCTTCCCCTTCCCTGTGTCCCACCATCACCTCAGAGTCTTTAAGATTGATAGGCAGACCTAGGTAGGATCTAGGAGACAGGGCCAATTTCAGTTGTAAAAACAGTGGTAAGCAAGGGATTTGAAGAGCTCTGTTGTTTCACAGCAAACAACTTATTTGTGCCCAGATCAAAAGTAAATAAACAGAATGGTTTTGAGTGTGATTAAGAGGATTACATGTTAGAGAATCTGCTTTTGCTATTACGGCACAATCAACAGAAACCTCCTCTGCTTTTCTGCTCTGACACTACCAAGTTTTCCCATTAAAATATCAACAAAAGTCAGTTTATTCTTCTCAAAATCAATTTCTGTTATTTTTCTAAGGTTGATAGCATGGATTCTTTGACAGTTAAAGGCTCTAATTTGCCTTAAAACATAGCATGATTTGAGTTGTCTGTTTTTAGACTCGACTAGACTCCTTGCCAACTGCCTGTATAACTGGTCTACTCTGAGAATGGGACCATGCTTTCCATATAAAGAGGAGGATCTTGGAGTGTGGTCCAGGGACCATGGGGAGCCCCAAGACTCCTAGGAGGTATGCAGAGTCTATACTATTTTTATAATGATACTGATATGTTATTTGCCTTCTCACTCTCATCCTCTTATGAACATACAATGGAGTTTTCCAGAGGCCACATGACGCGATGACACCTTTGCTTTGATGAATAATGGACTGTGTTTTGTGTATTCTGGGGTCTTAAAGATTTCTCAGTCTTAATTTCTTTTGTTGTTGTTGTTGTTGTTGTTTTTAAAGATTTTATTTATTTGAGAGAGAGATAGCAAGAAAGAGCACAAGCAGGGCAGGGAGGGGGAGAAGCAGTCTCCCTGCTGAGCAGAGAGCCCAATGTAGGGAGGGGCTCAATGCCAGGACCCTGGGATCATGACCTGAGCTGAAAGCAGACGCTTAACCAACTGAGCCACCCAGGCGCCCCTTAATTTCTAATATAGAAAATACCTCTAGATATAACCCATATAAATAAAAGCTCTTTGGGGTCCTCAATTTTTAAGAGTATAAAAAGGGTTCTGGGAGTAAAAAGTTTGAGAAGCCCTGTCTTAAAGACAAAAAAGACTGTCTAGATCTTCAGTTAATTCTTGAGTATACCAAGATTCAGTGGAAAATCAGAGAAATAATTAAAAGTTAGAAAATCAGATTTATAAGAAGAGGTGAAGGCAATGGGGATTGATGAACCTGGAGAAGAGAGGCTGGAGAGATGCCTTAATAATGATCATCAGAAATGTGAAGGGTTGATGTACAGAACAAGGAGAGGTTGGCTGACGTGCAGTGTGTGAGATTCAAGCTAGAGATAAAGAAGGATTCTCTGACAGGGGCTGTTAAACAGCAGAGTGGGTGAATGACAGGCTTGTGGAATCTCCTCCTCTGGAGGTCTTTAAAAACCAGCTAGATTTCCATCTGTCTGGTATGATTTAACTCCAGCCGTGCCAGAAAGCCAAGGGGATGGAACAGATGAAGTCTTGCGCTCCTCTTCCAGCCCCTTGATTCTGTAATTAACTTGATGAAAGGAGCTGTGGTGATTTGCAGTGCAGGGTTTAGACAGGAATGTGCTTGCTGATCTTGGGATAGGTCTTGTGTGGGAAAGCCAGAGGTTAGCTTCATGGCTGGTGGCGATCCGTATCATCCAGTAACATGATTGATGCCTGGAGACACCCATTTCAGGTCAGACTGAGAAGGAATGGGCCCTAGCTCCCTGCCTAACCTTTCGCATTATCTAAGATCAGTGAGAAAATTAATTTGATAGGTTGATTTTAGTTAGCTCAGGTGGGACCTGGAAATTTTCAAATAATAGATGTAAATGTAGGCTTTGGGGCATGAAATGCTCAGGATTCTAAAAGAAAAAAAATGCAGTTTTTAATTTTATAGAAGGACAGTATCAGAAAGTCCAAATGGAAAGTATGAGAATAATGCTCTTCGTGGACGTAGCCTTTCAATTTTCCTGTGTGGTGGTGCTTTATTTTTCCTTACAGGAAAATAGGAGAATTTCATTGTTTCCAAAGATTTTGCATTTTGGAAATCAGAGTTTAATGTTTCCCTGTGCTGGGTCAGAGATCCAGAGCATCAACCAAATTCCAAGGTAGTTTGTTTCTTTTGCTTATCACTTGAATTTCCGTGAACAATGTGCTTGGGCCAAAAAAAGAGGAAGGAAGGAATGCAAATTTGCTGGGCTTACTTAAGTTGGATCCTGACAGTAGGGACAACACAGTAGAAATCAGTAAAACCATCTGGGATAATGAGCTGGATTAGAGAATATAAATGAGATTTTATCTAAATGTAGACCCAATCACCATGGTCTGTGTTGACACTTAAAAAATATTTGGATCATGCATTAGCCTGTCTTGGGTTGATTGATAGAAAACAGAGAAAGAAGACAGAGCTGGGAAGACCCCCTTGGGTAGTTTTTGCCGTGTAGTTTGATCAGATACCATTCAGGAAAACAACCCTGGCAGATAGCAGATAACCCCATTGTGGGAAACGATTACCAGGCTCTACCTATCTCCAAAAGATTCTAAGAGGCTACTGACCTCTCTTTTGACAAAGCCTTGGTGTTGAATGAGATGGGAAGACCAGGCCTGGGGCAACATGGTAAATACGCTTTCTGTCCCAGAGAAGAAAAGTGGGATAATTTCATAGAAGCTGTAAGACAATAAACCTCTTGAATTATTAAGACTCATATCATGCAAATACTTAATTATGCCCCTTGATGTTGAAAGAAAGAGGGCAAGGAAAGGAATTCCTGTTTTTAGAAAGGATGGAATTAATCTAGGAAAAGTATTATTCCAAAAGGTATCTAGTAAAATATCACAGATGGAATTTTAAAATGAGTTTGATAATGTTTGTTTCTTGTTTCTTATAACCACTCTTGCAGCTAAGCTAGCTAAAATAGCAAAGGTAAGGATAGGCTGCTGGTAAAAGCTTATCTTCTTTGTGGCTTAAGAAGGAAATATTTTTCTTTTTGGGCCCAGCAAACTTGTGACCATGTAGATCTGAGTAAGACTTTATGGCTAGAAAAGGGAAACATCACTGCTCTGCTTGCTTTTTTTATTTTTTTATTTTTTTAAGCCCATTCTAAAACCAACGGCAACCCCATCTAGAGGCTATGTGTGTGCATTAAGGAACTTCACAGTTTGAAGCTTTGACCTTCCTTCCCTTCATTTATCCAAGTTGTTCTTCAAGTCCTTACTTCTGCTTACTGTGTTCTTCATTGTGCTTTCCCCCAATTGTCTTCCAACCAAAATTTTGCTCATTTTCCAACACACAGCTCTCATTCTACTGTGGCCTTCATACCTCCCAGAGGCTCAGAGCACCACCCACCTGCTGCATAAACCTATCCTAAGACTTACCATTATTTGCTTTGCATTAGAGTTAGTTGTGTCTATGTCCATGTCTGTTGCTTAATTGTGTGCTCCCACAGGGCAGAAGCCCAGTAATTTCTATCAGATCTGTCTTACACCTGGTAGTTGCTCAATTAATGTTTAATACTGAGTCGACCTTGACCTTACACATCTTTTCCGGAAAAGGAATAAGATCCAGATGCTAACTACTGGATTTCACTTCTGGATATATATTTATCAAACCATTCAGTAAAACAACATAACTTATACATTCAAAAATAGAAGTAATGTGAAAACTCATTTCTATATGCATATTTATTCAATTCATTATGATTCAACAGGATAGTGACTGAAAGAATGCATGTATGTGAATGCACATGTATGTATATATGTTTATGTATGAATGTAGACAATTCATTCCATTTTAGTTTTTCCGCCACAAACCAAACAAAATCAAGAAGCACTAGAAATGAACAAAACATTTAAAGCGTCGTATTAAAATCCTTGGTGAATGATAGCCTGATTTTTTTTTTAAATATTTTATTTATTTATTTGACAGAGAGAGACACAGCGAGAGAGGGAACACAAGCTGGGGGAGTGGGAGAAGGAGAAGCAGGCTTCCCACCGAGCAGGGAGCCTGATGTGGGGCTTGATCCCAGGACTCTGGGATCATGACCTCAGCCGAAGGCAGGCACTTAACGACTGAGCCACCCAGGCGCCCCTGATATCCTGATTTTTATATGAAAAACAAAATGAGGAAGAGTAGAATAAGTAACTTTATTACTTTGTATCTTCTTAACAGAATTTTCTTAGTTTTATAAAAATACTGTGCTTTGAAAGACTGATAAATTTTCTAAATTTTTATACTAATAGTCACCTGCTGAAAAAATATGTAAAGATGACATCTAAAAAGTAACATAGTTACTGGTTTTATTTTTTCTCTGTCCTTTGCGTGGGGAAAATTACAAATTATTTTCAAGGGAGCAATATGACATTTCCACAGATGGGTACTTTCTAGGACAAATGTAAATTGCAGAATAACTTTTTTTTTTCCCCCTGGGAAATGGTCTCTGTAGTTGTTACAAAGCATACCTTAAAATGAAAAACAGTTTGAATAATTATTGTTGGAAGAGATATAATTGCCTTTAAGTTTCTGCAGGACCTGAGTATTTATTCTCTCCCTTTCTGATTCCTCCAAATTTCTTTTTCAGATCAGGTTTCAAACTTGAATTAGTTTCTGTTTTGTGTGAATTTAGATGTGTGAGAGTGGGTGCAAGTGTATTTTACACTACATTTTTAAAGCTTCTCTTGGGAGATTTGTTTTTGTGAAGTTCACTATGCTTGATCCCATAGATTTTTTTTTTCTTGTTAGGGGCAGAAGTCAACATCCCAATTCTTTTGTTTTAATATCCAGAACCAGAAACACAGAGTGGGTCCCACAGCCTGGCAGTGACAGAACTTGGTTTGACTGCATTTTGGGGTTATTTTATATATTCCACTTTAAAAAAAATTTCCATTGTTTTGCTTATTTTTCAGCAAAATCATGCCCTTCATAGAGACTGTATCAATCACAATATTCATGAAAAGTATAGAATCTGTGATCTAAAGAACATAGGTTCTAAAAAGATTGACTTAAAAGCATTTCTCATTTTTATCCTTTGGTTCTCCAGAAGGTCCTGGGGAGAAGCACTTTCAACATAGATATGAACAGGATTCTCAGTGTAGAATGGACTCCCAAGTTTGGTTAGGCCACAATGAAGTGTGTTGAAAGCCATTAGCAATTAAGAGCATGGCTCTGTGCTGATTCGCTTTATGGTATATTTCATGCTGCTCATGCACAGTAGGTAATACACATGGATTCAGCATAAATTTAATTTTGCACATTAAGTAAAGTGCAACAGATAAATTATGCCTGAAGAGGAGCCACCAGCTGCTGTAGCCACTTCAACTAATGTACCCCAGAGGTGCCTGAGCACATCACTTGTGTCGAACCACTAATGCATCCTGGATATGTGCATGGATACATTTGCTGTGTGGAGCCAGGAGTAGCCTCCTGGCTCTCAGGGAGGGGCCAAGGAAGGGAACTGGTCCAGCTTCCTGGGGCTGAGCTGCCTTCCCCCCGGCCCCCCGGGCTCTTGAGCTTGCTTTGCCATACATGGCCTCATTCAAGGGCTTGGTGGAAGGGTG